TTCCTCGGATCATTGAACCACTCATTGATGAGCCGCTGCACGCATCGGGTATCCATCCAAAAATCTTGGGGCGCGCTCGCCGCAACAAGCAAGACTAGTTCTCCATGACAACAACCTGCAGGGTATCCGCCGTTTCCAGACCCATTTCGAATCGATTTGTTAGGGGTTTTCAGTAGGTTTTTTTTCAATATAATTTTAGGCATCTCGCACTTTCTTGTGATTTTGGTGAACAATATCAATTGAAGGGCCAGAATTTTACCCAGTGACCAACCATAACTATAACCAGATGTAAATGGAGTTTCAACAGCGTTATCACTCACAACTCTGCCCCCAAAAAGCCAATCAAAGAAGTGACATGTTTCGAGAAATAGGTTTCATGAGTTGAACATGTTGTGATGTGCTGGAAAATCCACGACCTTCATCTAGCTGGTTACTCTATTCCTCCAACAGCATGGCAAGAGTAACACTTTTGCCTGCCAACTGGGTTGACCCAAATACGGACTCATGAATGCTGGCTAATTCCCTACTTTGCCTGGTCAACCCAGCCTCATTGTTGGTTGAATGAACTTACCATTCACCAAACTTAACACAGTTGAGACAGCATTTCTGTTGTGTAGATTCCGTTCATCTCGACGTGTGTATATAATCAAAATATAAAGTCATAGGGTACTCCAAATCGTGTAGTTTATCATCATCCCCTATGGATTGATGAATCCCTCCCCCAATACAAATACCCAATATAACATTAACATACATTAACCCTCAAAAACCATCCTTGGGCAAACATAGCGATGGGAAATCAGTTACCGGATAGGGAAAAAGGCTATCTCCCCGTGGGATCCGTGGGCCTGAAGGCACGCGGCCAATTCCTCCGGCTTCATGAGGGTATCCAACCTGTGCCCGGCTGTCTTTGGTTTTTAGGGATTTCACGAACGAGGCCCGACCACCTGGGGATTGAAACAATTTCAATCGGAATTTCACCACGAACAATCGGGAGTTGACCAAACATGAACCAGCTTGGTTGTCGAAGCAACAAAGCAGGGGATCGAATCAACAAAAGCAATGATTTTCAGCACCAAGGACATGGTTTTGACCAGCAATGAATTAGATTTAACATGACTTAAAGATACATACCATCCAGCAAAGTGAAATCCTGCAGTTGCAGATTAGTTCGGTCTTATAATAACCCAGTCGGTGGCAAAATCATAATGCTATTTTCATGGATGTAAATGATGGGAAGTAGTTGGCACACGCTTGGTAGACGGCCGCGTACTTTAGTTGCTTTTTTGCTCATTGGGGTGGGGTGGGGTGGGGTAATAACGTTCATTTGCACTTCCTCACATATATGATGCTACGCTCCTGTATGTCGTCTCGCACTTCCTCACATATATGATGCTACGCTACTGATGTCAGACGACGTCAAAGCGATGGTGAACCAATGGGTCTTTAGACAAAGTCTAGGGCCTATCACCCCCATTGCCTTCTTAGAAGAGCTGAAACAACTTTTGAAACAATGAGGAAAAAAAGGCTATGAAGTGCTGCTTCGCAGTAGTTTGGAACAATGCAAAATGAGGAACGTCAAAAAACATTGAGTTTTTTGCTGAAAATCCCATTTCGTGCCACGGCCGTCTATCAAGCGTGTACCTAGTTGGCCATGGTCGATCAGCAGTTCATCTCTGGTTGATCAATGGTTAAGTACAGTAACCGTGGATTCATTATTTTTGATAATATTCACAATTGACTAGTGGATGGTTGTTTACCCATGATAAATTGATGAATACACAATAGATATTCAATGAATGTCAGAATCATTAGTACTCATTCTCTCCACGGCTGGTTTATAAACATTAACCATACATTAACCATACATTAACCATACATTAACCATACATTAACCATACATTAACCATACATTAACCATACATTAACCCAGGGTCCACATTTTGAACCCGACACCGGCCGATGCCAAGCAGCTCCTTTCCTTCCACCATGGCGTGTCGAAGGCACAGCTGCCTTCCTTGCCGCGTCCAAGCGTCCGTACCCGTCTCAATGTCCTGGAAGGATCTGTTTTCGGCTGAAAGGCTGCGGGATTTGAACAACAAAAAACGATGGTTACCCTCTGGTAATTTAACATAGCTATTGAAAATGGCCCATTTATAGTGAGTTTTCCCAGTAAAAATGGTGATTTTCCATAGTTATGTTAGTTTACCAGAGGGTAATATTGGTTGATATTAATCTGGTTGGTGGTGCAATAACATGTTTTAACCATCTTGCAAAATATGAGTTCGTCAATGGGAAGGATTGGGAAGGATCATCCCATATATTATGGAAAATACAAGCCATGTTCCAAACCACAAACCAGTGGTTAATATTGGTTGATATTAATGATATGGTTTATATAATCCCATGATTACGATTAATATCGGGGTTAGTTTTCAGGTGATTTGATGATGGAACTACGATTTTAGGGAATTTCTTACCTTTGAGACTTGGTGTGTGATCTGCAAACATGGCGATTTGATGCGATTTGACCATGAGCATATGGATATTTCAACTTTTCAAAGCAATAAAACAAAGGGATTCCATGAAAACGATGGTCCTTCCATGTCTTTCCCCATTTTCTACAAAATTCATGAAAATTATCTACAAACATCTATTACAAACCTAAATTTTTGGTAGGAGACCCCAAACACCCCGAAACGGCCCTAAAACCCTTGGATCCTTGTGGGCCCCCGCCACATCGAAATGGCCGGTCCTGGAGGATTTGTGGGTACTTGAACTCCTTGGTCAGGCGGTGAGAGCATCCCTGACATCCCCAAATATCCGTTTTTTTTTTAATGGTTTCAGATGGTTTCAGGGTGTCTACACACTTCCATCATTGGTCAATGATCGGGCGATCAAAAAAATCGATCATCCCAGGTGAATCGCCCCCCTTTTTTGGCTGCACACAACCTGGAAAATCATCGTCCGAAGCCGTAACCGTGCTAGTCTTGGTCGCGAAGTCTCTAAATCTGGAGATTGTTTAGTCAACAGCATGTGTGGATTGAATGCAAGAAAGGGTTGATCATCATCCGAACGTAGACCATTCTGTGGCAAGTTGTGCGAGTGAACATGCCAAATTTTCTCGCTAGTTCAAGGGTTCACCCTTTTTTGCTGCTTCAATCAGCATTTTGTCGCTTCAACCCGGCCCATCCCAACCCGTTGTGAACACCATAGCCTTAGATCCCAAAATGGTGACCATCCCAATAGCAGATAATCCAAATCTTACCATGTTTATGGCAACCATCAATCCATGTTTATGACATTAGTGACATTGCTTTACCAATATGATATCATTGATAATTATTCATATTAATTATTAGTGACATATAATAATTATATATGACGATTGCTTTATTAGCATTAGTTACATTAGTGACATAATATGATATTTAACTATCATATTATAGATTAACTATGGTTAAATATCATAATATCTATAAATGGTATCATAAATATCATAATATCTTTATTAACAATCATTAGTTACATTATAGATCTTTATGGCGCTGAACATGCCACGCGCTCGCAGCGTCGCGTTTTCCGGACCGAGCCACCGTGTGGCAGAAGTCGCCATAGCAGCCGGGCACAGGCTGCGCGGGGTCCTCCGGGATTCAACGCCCGGTGAGATGGGATAGCCTCTATAGTAATTGAACACTTTGCTATGGAAAATCACCATTTTAGTGGATTTTAGTGGATTTTAATGGATTTTAATGGATTTTAATGGATTTTAATGGGTATATCTTGGATTATATTGGTATATTATCTATAAATTGGTCCATGTTCAGTAGCTATGTTAAATTGACAGAGGGATGGAAGTTCAAGCGTGGAAAATGCAACAAAGTCGAACAAGGGAGGTTTCAGTATGGAAAACGGGGAATCTGATTTTGGATGATTTGAGCCCCAAATAGGGGGCACCTTCTATAAGATTCTATAAGTAGATAGCCGAGCAAGCAACTGGAATGTGTTTTCCTGTGTTTTCTATAGCTGAGAGGATAGACTTTTTCACGCATGATGATGCCTGAAATTTATGTATTTCATGGAACTAGGATATGTGACAGGGATATGCACACATGGTGATACCTGACACCTTTAACATTGGGCTGTTTGGTAAGTACCCCCCATGTATAACAAAAAAATAAAGCACCAAATCATCCGTTCAACGTTGACCCAGCTCCATAAATCACGCCCATTTTTTTGAGGCATATGAAATCTTGCATGCCCCGATGAAATTGGGATCATTCATTTCATAATTAACCCCAACTGGTATTACCATTTCACATTGATGGGATAACTTTCTGATTAATTAATCAAACATGTCTTCCCCATTCCCAAAAGGATCGAAACATGTTTACCGATTGCTTTCTGGTGGTTTAAATCTCCGAAAAATATACCACAGTCATCTCAACCAATCATCCCATGGTTTTTTCAACATCGCCAAACAGTTTGAACCAGTTTGAAACCATCTTGAAATCTTGAAACCATCAAGCAGATTACTTTGACAAAAAATTGATGATGATTTCCCATTGTTTTCCCATTGATTTCCCCAACTCGTCGTAGGGATTCTACGGAGATCCTGGGGCCCCCCCTGGGACCCCCAGGGACCGGAACCTGCTTGGGCTTCATGCTGCGCCGGTTTTGAGCCTTACCTCACAAGCCACGACAAGCCACGTGCCATAGCGATTCGGTCAGCCAAGAGACGTGATGCCATGGGGGATGACCTTCCCGTAATAGCCATGGCATGCCATGGCAATCGGAAATCCCCAGCAAAAATGGAGCTTTGAATGGAAACATCATCTATAAACTGGATTTTTAACTGGGGGAGTTTCTTTTGCCATGCTTGATTTAAACTGAGGGTAAACCAACCGACAGTTGGATTTCAAGGAGAGAAATAGGGATTGAATCAGGACATGGGCATTTGAACTGTCAAAATAGTGAGTGGTTGAACCGTTGAACCAAGTAACATGGGCATTTGGTGTCATTCTTAGCCATGTATGACATATTGAGACAGGCAAAACATCAACCTGTAACCTCCCTTCAGAAGTGGGTTTTCCAGCAATTTCAAAGATGGATCATCGCATGGGCAAACTTATCATTTTTATTGGCTGGTGAGTCTACTTCCTGTTTATGGCCAAAAATCATTCCGTAAGCTACGGCTGTAACGCCGACCCAGATCAAGAACAAGGAAAGAACGCGATTTAGGAGCAGAGGTTCCCAGAGTTTGGCTCACGTTGCATTGCTGCCCTAGGTTGCCCTGGCAAAAATCAAAGGGATCTATCTGCACTGACAAGCTGTCATCCAACAAAATGACTGTTGCCTCAACAGGTGCTTTTCAACCACCATCCTTGGTTTATCCATTTCCCCCTGGGCCTCACTTATTTGAAGACGTCTCTTTGAGATCTCATCACTCGGGGGAATGGATGATTTAGCCACAGTCTTTGCGGGTTACACGTTATATCATATCCAGTTTTTGCTGGGGCATCCAATCAGTCTTCATAGTTAAAGATTGGGTGAACCCTATGATTCATTCGAATCATACTCATTATTCCAATCATCAGCGGTACCGTTCCAAGCATATAATTTATCAATGTATCTATTTACAATTCATGGGTAAATAGTTCAAATATGTTCACATCAACATCACAACAATCGATCTATCCATCCACCATCATATACCAATGTACATAAATAGACAATATATATATATAATTATATATATATAATTATATATATATGGTACCCCCCCAAAACCTACCTTTTTTACATTTGTATTGGTATTTACAGTATTTTATGTAGATTATTAGCTGGAGTGAATAAGCTGAAAAAAACTAAAAACTAGAGCTGAAAACACTGAAACAAAACTATAAATTTTAGGAACTATGTCTAGCCCCAAGTCTAAACTAAAAAAACAGAAAATTGAAAAACTGAAAAAACTGAAAAAACTATAATCTTTGGGAACTATGTCTAGCTCCAGGTCTAAACTGAAAAAAACTGAAAAAACTGAAAACACTATATTTTTGGGTAACTATATCTAGATCTGGGTCCCAGCCATAGTTCTAGAAAAACATAGTTTTTTCAGTTTTTTCAGTTTTTTCGGTTTACGGATGGAATCCGCAGTATTTCCGCAGTATGTACGACCATGTCCGACACTGCAAAAAGCGTGTCAAAGTCAAGGGCAAGTGGATGTGGAAATTGCCCACCTATGTCCGCGTGACCACACACAAGGATCCCAAGACTGGTCGCAAATTTAAGACTAAAGGTGGCACGCAAATTATAGACCGTGCCTGGCGCTTCCTCAAAGACAGGATTCATTTAAACCAACATTGCCGAGTTGGAACGCCTCTGCTGCGTGCCAAAATTCGCAGTGCCCAATACGAGTATTGGCACAGGAATGCGGATCTATGGCTTCAAACCGGCATTGTGTGTACATGGCATGTCGCCAAAAGCTTGGCTTAATCTCAGTGCTCCATCCATCGCAGAAAAAAAAATCCTTCTGTCAATGCTTCATTGTTTGCTGCAACTCGCATTATCATGCAAATGTCATGAAAATACAAAATTTCACCACCACAAACAGTCTGAAACATTCTTGTCTGCAATTCCTTTACTTACCACAAGTCGATAAATATGAACGAAATTGTTTGCATGTCTCTGCCTCTGACACACAATCAAAATACAGTATTTCCTCTTGTCTGCAATTCCTCTGCCTATCTGCATGTCCCTGCCTCTGACACACAAGCACCAACATGAAAACCAACATGAAAGTCATAAAAAAGTAGGTTTGGGGGGGGCTAGCATATATATATATATATACACATAACACACCATAACACACACACATATATATATAATATCAACATATACATAATATGTATGCATATATATATATATAATTATACAATATTATATATATATATGTACGAATAACGGACAAAAATACTTACTACCCGCAATGGACATGGCCAAAGTGGGTGGTCCCCTGTCGGTTGTGAATGTTTTCGCACAAATTTGAACATCACATGTCCACTCCCCACTACTTTAGTCTTCCGCTGATTTTGTTGGTTACTCATATATATATATATATACATACACACACACACTATATTCTAATATATATATATTATATAATGATATACATATATATATATATATACACAATAACTTAGGGCGTTAGGGTTGCTAAGTGTGAAGATACTGCTGCATTTTACAAAAAATCGAATCAACATCCGATGATCTTCCCCCTGGCGCTCCAAGCGACTCCGGAGCACGGAGCGTCGGATGATCGGCACATGGGGTCGCATGGGCGGCAGCGTCACGGCGGCGCGGTACTTCCGCGGCAGAAAGGAAAAGCTGCGGGAACGCAGCCTGAGAAGCCAGAGAGGTAGATAGGAAACTGTTAAACATTGTTAAACTATGGGGAATGAGATGGATATTACCATTAATTACATATACTCATATACTTACCAACTATGGGAATGATATTATTATCAAAATTGTTTGATATATAATTACCTTCTTGGGATATGATGGGATACTGGATGAGAATTATATATAATTACCTAATATTCTTGGGAAAGCCAGAGCAAGATAAGACGATGGGAATGGTTGATGGTACAAAGCAGGGTTGTTTAATATGTTGTTATACCTTTTTTTAGAATCGGTGCGGTAAAACACAGCATACTAAGTGGTTCAATGGGTCAACAAGTGGAGCTCAAAGTTGGGCCCAAATTAAAATTTAAATGGGCTGGATGCCCTCCACGAAATGACCATAGAAGTAGTGACTAGTTGTGGGACATTCTGAAGTGAGACACTCGGATGAGGCACTTTGATTGGAAAAATTGGCAACCCCGAATAACAGTTTTGATGGGAAAAGATGTTCCCAAAATTTCCCAAATGCCCGGAAAAATCTAGCATGCAAGCCAGACAATCAACCGCTGCTTGGTGATTTAAACCCATCTTAGTCATCCCAAGTCTGCTTGAAAAGAATGATCACCTGAACCCCCCCAACCAGTTCTTAAGTTCTTAATGGGTTTTCAATGGTTTTATTGAAATATGTTGTAATGGTGAAAATTCAATGGAGTTTTTTCATGGTTAATCCAATATGGCTTGCAATCGTTTCATATAGTTTCAATAAGTTTCAATATCATAATCTGGTTGGTGGTTGAGCCACCCCTCTGAAAAATATGAAAGTCAATAGGAAGGATTATCCCATGTATTATGGAAAATAACGGTCATGTTTGAAACCACCAACCAGATACTATATTATGTGTCATCTGGCTCTGTGGCCCAAGGGACATGCAATGATCCGCTGGCAACTCATCCAGCGGTCGCGGAGGCAGAGCGCGCATGTTCTCTGTCGCCATGGCACTTGTGGATCGGGGGGTGGCTGAAAGGGATTAAGCCTTTAAGGGGTACCCGATGGTACCGGGGAATTCATCTCAGAAAGGTTTTGGTTTCTGAACTTTTCTTTGCTTCTGTGCCAAACCTGGGGAAATCTTGTGAACGTGTTTACTGCTCACTAATCGAAGTTCTCTACGTGCCTGGCTACAACCCATCCAAATGGGTAATCCAGGAACACATATCTGAAAAATATGATCAATTTCTGTGGGATAAGATGTGTGTGTATATATAACATGTTCTTTCATCAAAACGACTCTTTTTATCAAGAATCCATGAAGCAACATGGAAGGTCCCACAGTTTATAAAACATCATAAATTATGACCTCGGTATTTTTGGACACTTTATGGGTGATATCCTAAAACTCTCGATTCAATCAATGTGGCTCTGTGTATGGGCACCGAGCCATCGATCAATGACTTGAATTCACCATGATTCACCTTCGCCCCGCCCCGCCGCTGGCAGCCCACGGCAGCCAAATTTGCAGGAGAATTATGCGAAGCTTCAAGAGTGATCAACTGGGTTCTGAAGGAAACTGTCCTTGAGATTACTTGAGATATGGCAATTTTGTTGAAGTGTGGTCAAGACAAGCCGACGAGAGCTGAGATTCCAGCTCTCAACTATGGCCATGTCAGAGACATTTTGACTTTTTCAAATATAGAGGTTAAACTGCACCCCAAAATCCCTTGGTCTATCATCATGATCACCTGAACAAATTGTATCTGTTGGGTAAAACAACCCCGTTTTGAAACAACCTCATCCAGGAGCAATTTCCATAAGCAGGTGCTGACAGGTTTGTCCTCGATTGTACGGCAACCTTCCACAAAAATGCCACCTGCCGGCAGTCAGAATTTAACCCTGAAGATTCAAATGGGTCCCATTTGAATGTAGCAAACTCCGAGGATAGCCTGCTAAACTGCGGTCCCCTGAGCTTTCAAGCGAAAAACCCTAATCCTCAGGGGCAGGTATCATTTGGTGCTTGGTTTCCATAAAGATGCCCAGTTCAATCCCATAGCATGACAATCCCAATCCCAAATATATGAAGACGAGGAAATGACACGGAGCCCCAGGAATTTACATGCTGGACCTGCAGGATGACCAAGATTCTCGGCAGCCCACCATTGTTTTATGTAGTTTCCATATGTTAGCAAGATACAAAGACCAAAGAAGAGATGGGGATTGGGAGAAATGATTGAAACACCAAATTTGGGGATTTCCCTGATTTCACAAAACGAGAATCAAAGATTGTGATGGACAATCCCCAATTTAGGGGAGCAATGATCTATAAATGGAAGCACATGATGGTTCTTCCATGGTCCGGTTGAATTACCAGATGGTAGTGGTTTGATCGGCAAACTGGGGTGTCACCCCAGCACGACTACTATCATTGGCCCACCGTGGATTGGGTCTGTTTGATTGATCGGCATTTATACGTATTCTCCTTTGTCGTCGCAATATATCAATCTGGCAGCATCACCAAATATCAACGCCAGCAGGGAGCCATGCTACCACATGTGATTTTGCAAACGGTTTGCCACCCTAGTTTGCTTCATATTCGAATTGCTAGCTTCAAACAATACCACAAATATGAAAGTCAGATGGATTAATATTCTCTTTTGCGCCTTAAATACGCGTCATAAGTCTTAATCACCAAGCAGCACTCATCTGGTAATCTTAACAGAGAAAGGAACAAATTATATACGGGGGTGAATGATATTCGGTAATGGAACCCCCCTACCTGTAGATGATTTTCTGCTCAAGATCCCTATTTGTAAGATATTTCCCATTGACGTTTTGGGACGGTCTCATCCGGATATTGCTCTTAGCAGAAGTCAAAGGCAACTTCAGTGACTTAGGATTCATATTTTTCACAATATTGAACATAGATTTTCAACATCTGTCTGTGATTCCGCCTTGGATATTTTCAGTGATTTTCCCATACCCATAGGATCCATGGTGCTATATCTGGTGACATGGATCCCATCAATATACCCCCTTTATGTTAGCATTTTTCTACCAGCACCATGGATCCGTCATGGGATAGATCTTCCCATTCCGATTCTCCCCGCCTGGGGTGGTGGTGGTCCTGGGCCCGGTGGGAGGACTCTTGTCGAGGAGCACCTGGATGAAGGTCACGCCCAAGCAGAAGACATCGCCTTCCGGGGAGATGTTCCCCGTCCGTGTTGGGATGGTTATTTTATATATTTGGAAAACATGTTATGCTATATTTTAGCTATATAATATATCTATATTTTATCTATATATTATATATCTATATAGTGATTCAATGGGAAATTAATGGGATATACCCTCTGGTTATGTCAAAATAGCTATTGAAAATGGCTATTGAAATAGTGGATTTTCCCATGAAAAATGGTGATTTTCCATAGTTATGTAAACGTTTACCAGAGGGTATATGTTATGTTATTTTAGCATAATATGATACGTATATTTTATCTATATATATATATATCTATATTAATGTTATCTCCTGTTAATAATAGTTAGACTATTTTAGGACATTATGTTATCTTATCATATTTATCTCATGTTCTTGATCTAGGGTATCTTTAACTTTCAGCGTAGTTACTTCACACAACTGTCACTTATTTTCTTGATCTAGGATATTTTCTCAAATACCCCCGCTACTGGGGATTGAAGCAAGCAGCGGACATGGGGAAATTTGGGCAAAGATGAGGGTGGTGTCGAGAAACAAACATGATAGCGGCGACCTCTCTGGAAATCGTTGGGATTGGATGAATCTTCCCCGAAAGTGCCCTGGATTTCAGGATTTCGAATTTCACATAGTTACAGTACTTTGTACGGAATTTCGGATTTGAACCTGTTAAAAACCAGAAAAAACGATTTTGCAAAACAACAACAACAACAACAACAACAAGAACAAGAACAAGAACAAGAACAAGAACAACAACAAGAACAAGAACAAGAACAAGAACAACAACAACAACAAGAACAACAACAACAACAACAACAAGAACAGCAACAACAACAACAACAACAACAAGAACAAGAACAAGAACAACAACAACAACAAGAACAAGAACAACAACAAGAACAAGAACAAGAACAAGAACAAGAACAACAACAACAACAACAACAACAACAACAACAACAACAACAACAACAAGAACAAGAACAAGAACAAGAACAACAAGAACAACAGGAACAACAAGAACAACAAGAACAACAACAACAACAAGAACAACAAGAACAACAACAACAACAAGAACAACAAGAACAACAAGAACAACAAGAACAACAAGAACAACAAGAACAAGGCAATAACAATAACAACATATAAAATATAATAAATACGGGAACATTCTATTACTATGTTCAGTTTTGCGTCATTTTTTGGCGATTGATTCCAATAGTTTCAGCTTCAAAAACCCTCTCCAGGTTGGATAACCCAAAAGCTCATAGAAATGATCCGCCAGTTGATGTAAACATGGCATGAATCTAAACCTTTCAGGGAGAAACACAGCTCCAGATTCAATTTTATCCGCCAGATGCCCTAGATATATCTAGATTTCAGAATTTGATGTTGGATAATGAGGCTATTAGTCTTCTGACTAGTGGATATACCATGATAGAATCCATGATATACCCCAAACCAATGGATTTTGAGAATTTGCGGGCACTAATTCGACAGTTCCCTCCCAGCCCATTGATCGGTGCCTCTGGGAAACCACTTGCGTTGTTTGATGGTCTCAGGTGGCATGTATCCCGGCCTCAGCTCGTCAGCGTTTTGCAGTCAGATTTTGAGGATCCAACAAGTTTTGGGTAATGAAACACAGCTTTTGTGATCGAAATAAAGGGGGATGCTATGGGTGACTAATGCATAACCATCAGCTTCTTTGATAAGAAGGGATTTCCAGCGAGTTCTGATTATTCCCATTCACTCAGTTAGGGTACTACCTCCTGAGTCTCCTGAGTGTAGCCAGTGCACAACATGTCGAGCTCCATCAAAATCACTGCATGGTTGTCCTGCACAACGGTCTGGTTCAACGCACTGCTCTGGTGCATCCGACGGCCTCTACTCTGCCTTGTTCAAGTGAGATGTCTGGTCAGTGGTCCTCCTCAGCAATTCCCAAAGAGGCGCTAAGGACCTTTTTGAAATAAATCTCACACAATTGCTCATTGGCCGAAATTTGATTTCGCTTGTTTTTTTTTTTGTATAGGTCAAGTCATTTGAGACCCCCAAAATTTGCCAGCGAAAATGCTTCCGAAGATGACGGAAATCTGCGCTGACCGGGGTTCCAACCCCTCCGAACAATTTATTTGTCATGAGTCATGGGGCCTGATCATTCAGAATGTACGTATGGACATAATCAACATCTTCAAATCCAATGAGTGAAACACATCGCCTTCATCGGTTTTAGTTCAATCCACCATTTGTCAACAATGGGATATATATATATATATATATAATATCCTTGTTGATGTATATATATATATAATTATATCTAATTATACATATGATATAAGTTTCAATCCCACCTTTCCAGAGTGCCACCTTTCCATGGAAACATGGAAGCCCGTTCCGGCCATTCGTCTTCGCCTGTCCAGCTGGGATTCCCGACGTGCCGCCAGGCATGCCTTAGCTGTCGACAGACATCACTTGACATCACTGTGGTCACTCAGGTTGCAAAAACCTGAAGCATCGCCAGGGACTGTGTTCGATATTTTTTTTGGGTGAACCCACATGAACTGGTTCAGTTGGCTTGTCTCAGAGCTTCTGTAATGAGTCAATATGGACCCATCAGCATGCAGGGATGAACATGGGCGTTGATATGTTTTAATTAAAATCCCTATTTATTTTTGCTGAACATGATTTTTGGTTGAAATTGAACCCCCTCCAATCCAAACTGTTTCCGATTTACGTCCAAATTTTGCTGATGAGATCCATGTCTTTGTTGGATGAATCCTATTTTTTGCTGGTTAAATCATGTTATATAGATGGTGTTAGTTAGATCCATATTTTTTCTGGCTAAATCCGCATTTTTACCAGTTCAATCTACCTTTCTACCCGATCAAAGTGCCATTTGTTTCGCCGTCGCCGAGCAGCCATTGGACGCGGTGACCATGGCACGGCAAACGCCGAAATCAATGACCACCACCTGCGAAAGATGAGTGGGAAATGGTGGAGGTTCGGTTGGGGGTCAATGATGGTAGAACGCATTAGAATAATACTGGTCATGCCATTGACCATGATTGTTTAACATATAATTATGATAGAACATCAATTATATGGTCAAAAATGGTTAGTAATGCTTAATTCTGGCCAATAGTGTATAATCATGGTTAGTATATCATATAATTAATAACCATAGTCGACCATAGTATGATAAACAATGGTTGATAATGGTTAGTACCTATAGTGAATTTTGTATTGTTGTCAAACATGTCTAACGATGGTCAATAACCAAGGACACTTATTCTAACCATCTATGGTTAATATGTATTAAAATACTAATGATACGGTCGATGATGGTCAATAATGGCTAATGATGGTGAATAGTGGTTTATACACAATGGTTTACAATGATTGTGAATGGTTGCTAATGGGTACAACCATGGGATTCTCAACCCATAGGTTGGGATATGACATGGTATAACCCCCTATATATCGAGTTTTATATAACTGGAACCAGTAGTGAAATGGCTGGGAAATGGCTGGCAAGCCCAACAGGACTGGTTTCAACACGGCCGATGCAGGGATACTTTAAGTCTTTATAGTAAGTCCTGGAGAACACTGCGTGCAACCCTGCAATTGGCCAATATCCTATTTACATCTATTCACATCTGAAGCTCCAATTTCATGCTGCGATACCCCAGGTCAAAAGTGAGTTTGAACTCCAACAAGGCTTTGTAAGATGATTTTCCTGCTGAAACTTCCCATTTCTCTGGGCAAATTACACAATCTTTGAATTGTGAAAGGAACCCTTGAAACGGGGTGGTTTCCCTTACCGACCTGTCATTTGGCTTTGGCACAAAACCCGGCCCATCATGGTCACCACGATCCAACCTCTGGCTTGCGGAAGTCATTGCCCTTGATCATAATGTTCGGTTCCTGGCAGCAACAAACATGGGAAGATGATAGGCACTTCACAAGGGATCTGAATTGGCATCAGCAATTTGGAATCTCTTTTTAGGCCAAAAAGGCTTCATTGGATAGTTGTTTCAGTCATGAATTTCATGAATGAGATATCTGGGTTGATCCGGGTGCTTTCCGAGAATCGGGTAATCCAAAATCCTATGGTTGATCAATGTTGAGTATCCGCTTGATACCATCAGTGACTTGGTAGTCGTTTTCCTGGGTCCAGGCCGCTGTTGGGACACAAGGGTGGCGCTGGCCGCCAGTGTTGGTAGCCCATGACACTGGCTGGTTTATATGGAATTTTCATGGATGTTCATGGATGTTCATGGGCTGTAGTTCGTATAACATTATATTTAGGATATAATTGTAATTAGAAATCCCTGCAATAATCTGCCCATTGAAAATGTGGGCGCTGCTCAAGTGATAGGTTTCAGGGAACCATTCGATGGTCAGTCAATTTTGCTAAACATTGAGCCATGGAACCGACCATTGGAAATGGCTGAAAGTTGGACAATATCATATAAAAGAAGTTTCATGTTTTGTTGCTTCCCAATCTTTAGAAATTCTGAATCGCCTCGCCATCAGCTACCTTTCATTGGGTGTATCCTGAAAAATCCGCACCTTGATGTCGCAGTGCATCATGGACTGCTCGTGCATAAACTCCAAAGCCTATAATTTGAGGAAATCGCTGTCGGAAAATGATGGAAAATGCTGGGAGTTTTGTACAATGTGCTGCCCCGTACTTAGCAAAGTTGATCAAGTCCAATGGCTCGGGTTTGTGGTACGTAGATATATCGAACTAGTCAGTGGGGACTACAAACTTATAACTAGGGGGCACCACCACCATGTGGCATCATTTTTGCGCTGAACCAAGTGGTCTGCAATGGTTTCGAATCAAGCAATGGTTCCCCAATGTCTAAACCAATGGTTTTATATGGAATCCCGAACTTATTGGGTGGTACACACCATTGAGTAAGTAGGTTATAACTTATAACATATGTATAATATATATATATAAATATGCAACCCCCGTGGTTCGAGTGGCCGATGAGAAAAAACTGGCCCAATGATAACCTGGTCCACCCACAGCGTATGGGTGATGACCACGCTTGACGGCGCTGCTTGCAAACACCAGCGCAATAGCTGAGAAAATTCTGAGTGACCGTTGACATTCACTGGCGAACATCATGGATGAATGGATATAGATACACATGTATAGTATAATTATTATAATTACACATGAACACAAATGGCACATGTAATTTGCACAAATTGTAATACACCCTGGAAATTCCTAGAACTTGATTTGTTGGGATTGAAATCTCCATGAATCCCCATTGAGCAGTCCCAAGTCAACTCTGGGTTGGAACTTTACTAGCTGTACTTGACCTTGTTGACTGGTTGTCAACGATAATAACCTCTTCTACATGATACACTATCTTTTTGAAAACACAAGGTGTCCATAAGTGTTCCCCACTGACCTTCCCAATGAAACACCCCGTTACCACTGCGTGAAAGCATCCGAACTTTTCACAAGATGTTGAACCTTGGAGATGCACCAATTTCTGTTCAACTGTTTTTTAAATTCAATGTATCAAGTGGTGCCCGGAATTTAAGGCAACATCTACAGGAAACCTTCAGATGTGATGGCAAAAACAAATGCGCTGACAAATTTCATGACCGATCATCACTTTTTACTTAACATGGCGCTTTCTACCGTTTTTGAACATGCCCACATTTAATTGGATTATAACTGTCGCCATGGTGATAGAAACACCAAGAGTTTTGGAATCAAAGTTTGCCCACTAGACTGGGAGATTCGGCTACAAGTTGCCTCACTAGATTCACTGGGGTTCATAATGGATAGGAGTGGTATGACCATCCTGGAAGTAATGGCTTCAGCTACCCTCTGGTAAACATACAAAAAGCTATTGAAAATGGCCATAGAAATAGTGAGCTTTCCCATCAAAAATGGTGATTTTCCATAGCTACGTTAAATTACCAGAGGGTAATCCAACTTTTGAACATGGCTCACATGATATCATATGATCACCCCACGCCCCGTGATGCGCGGCTTTCCGTCCCATTTCCTGACCCAAGGCCTCGGCACACTGACGGAAGATGCCACGCCACCAATTCTGCGGAGCCAGCCGATGCAGGGTAAGTTGTGTTGTGGGACACTTTAAATAACCTGCAAACTGGTTATATAACAAGCAAAACTGGTGGATTTGACCATCTGAAAAAGATCAAAGCTCGACAAACATGACATTGGATTCATTGGATGCATTGGTTAAACGTTATAGAGAACTGGCCTCTTGGCCATGGTTCACCATTCCATGGTCCCCTAAAACCACGAGTTTGTCAGGTGGGGTTAGCCCTGCTGGGCAGGCCCCCCAGAGGATATAGATGAGCTTTTATTAAGACCTTAATAAACAAAATGAAAAATAAGACCAAAATGAGGTAAATGGCTAAAAAGACTACTTTGGCCTTATTTCAGGGCAAGACGTCACTGGATGTAATGGGGAACTTTTGCATCGGGTGCAAGTGCCCCTCAAATGCAAGGGACACAATGTAATCATTCGGTGGTCCAAGGGAACAGTAATTATGGAGCAATTATGTTTACCCTCTGGTAATTTAACATAGCTATTGAAAATGGCAATTTATAGTGGATTTACCCATTGAAAATGGTGATTTTCCATAGCTATGTTAGTTTACCAGAGGGTAACTCCCTATTGATTTCATTGCGATACATGGATCAAAGCTTTTCGGGAGTTCAACCGCTGCGATTTTCTCATCATCTACCAATCTTAGATAGTAAGTATTTTCTGAGCATGTGCCCAGAAACATGCGGTGCGGACATACATAGACATACCAAAGTAATGATAAGAATCTAGCAATAATCCAAAATATCCAATCATCCACCAATCATCCACCAATAATCCACCAATATCTGGTAATGATAAGTAATATCCAATAATCCACCACAAAAAAAATGCCAGGTATTTTAAGGCTTTTCCCATTTTTCCCCCCAGCTCCTCAGTCATTGGCACTTGCTGCTCTTTGGCACGTTGCGTCAGCGTCATGAAGTCACCGCCGTGGTACGGCTCACCAACCATGTAGTAGAACCTGCCACATCCCCTACGATGCTGCATCGTTGCAAGCGGCTTGATCGTCCGTTTTTGGAACCCGAAAGAATAGAACTAGGAAGACAGTATCATAGTTATTAGATGTTATTCAATGATATGAAATGTCATTATAGTCATTATAGTCATTATAGTCATTATAGTCATTATAGTCATTATAGTCATTATAGTTATTATAGTTATTATAGTTATTATAGTTATTATAGTTATTATAGTTATTATAGTTATTATAGTTATAGTTATTATAGTTATTATAGTTATTATAGTTATTATAGTTATAGTTATTATAGTTATTATAGTTATTATAGTCATTATAGTTATTATAGTTATTATAGTTATTATAGTTATTATAGTTATTGTAGTTATTATGTATGAAATGTCATTAACCAATTCTTGTGGTTGAAGGGAACATCTTGGAGGAACCCTGGGGAAAATCCACCGAATGATCTGGATATGCTGAGCATGGGGAAGTGATTATGATTCGTCAACCAATGGCCAAAGTGCAATATCCCACAATTGCTGGGTATGGTATGTATGTATATATATATATACTATATATATAAGATATATATATATATATCTATCTATCTATCACATATATATATATAACTATATTGTATAATATAATATAATATAATATAATATATTATTGAGACTTATTGCTTGGTTGGTAGTTCTTTCCATCGGCCACCATTCGCCATTCAAGCCTCTATTCTCTCTATAAAATTGGACAAACACCTGCATCAATGACGATACCACGGGTTGTTGACATACAAATAGATTATATCCATTCTTGATTATATAAAACCGCTATGGAAGAGGGATGAAGCACATATATCTCACAAACAACATGGAACACAAGTGGAAAATCTCACTATGACAACATGAAGCACAATTCGGAATCCTGGGTGCATTCACAAAGATAGCCATGGGGATCCGCACTGGCTGTCGTAAAACAACTCAATGACCTGCGACTGCGCCAAGACATTTTTTGGATGCTGCGACTGGTCTTGTCCAAAAAGTAAAGTACCATACAAATCAAGTTCTTTCTATCCTCGTTTCCGCTTTCCTCGCAGAATGTCAAATTTTTGGGATGTCCCCCATTTTCAGACGAACCCATATCAGATAGTGTTCGTTAATTTACGTATATATGTATAGACATAATACATAAAATACATTGATCATTAATTTATGTAATATACATCTAATTGGTGGTTTCAACCCGCCTGAAAAATATTAGTCAGATTGGATAATCATCCCAACTATTGGGGAAAATAAAAGCCATGTTCCAAACCACCAACCAGACATACATTAGATCCAAATCTGCAGCCTCCATGACAGTGGATCTTCGACCCAGATGGCTGCTGGTTCTCCATTCCACTGAGTTTGTTAAGCAACAAACAATCACTCTCTGATCGGTGATAAGCAACGGTCTTTCCTCGCGTCGTTGTTTGATGCATGGCCAAAAGTAAAAACAAAAACTGAGGTTTCCAGGTGAGTATGAACTTTACCCTCTGGTAATTTGTTACATAACTATGGAAAATCAACACCATTTTATAGCTGGGTAAATCCACTATTTCGACTGGGCCATTTTCCATAGCTATGTTTGACATAACCAGAGGGTATATCCCATTAATTTCCCATTGAATCACTATATAGATATATAATATATAGCTAAAATATAGGTATTTTGACATAACCAGAGGGTTTTTTCCACGTTCCTGCACCACTCAGAATCACTGGACCAGACCGTCGTCAGATGCATCACTGGAGCTATGGGTCCCAGAGATAGGGTGCTTAAAGCATGGTCGACAGCAATGTGGAGTTCACATGAGTTAACATGCTTTAACCAACAACAATGGAAATTTTCCCAAGAATATATAAATTTATATTTATATATTTATATATATATAATTGTATATATATATATAATTATATATATATATAATTATATATATATGTATATATATATTTATATATATATCTGTGTTTTTGCGCCATAATATTGTCAATATTGATCTGGCATGATCTGGCTGAAAGCAATTCACCGGACCGGACATGTCAGGGGATGTGAGAGGTGATTTTGGGACACTTCGCCATTTTGGGACACCATCATCTGCAGTGACGTGGTTGTGAGATCGTTCTCCTTCACCTGAGACAGGTCTACCCTCAAACAATCCAACATGGCAATGACGTGATCCCAACAGCTGGAAGAAAACGTCTGCAGGATCAGCTGGACTTCAGCCAGGTGATGCACAGTTGGCTAAGTTGGTTTATAAGTACATTAAGTATGGCTTATGGTAGATACACTATCTATAATTACTATGTATATACTTATGTACTATACTTATTATATACATAGTACAGTTAGCTAAGTTGGTTTATATAACGTACATAAGTAGCTTATGGTAGATACTGTACTATTATGTACACTATCTATAACTAATATGCGCCATTTTACATCGCCATCTTTGCCTATCACAGGGTATCTTGTTGGATCAATGATTTTGTGCCTTTCCTGTCCTGCGGGGTTGGTGCTGAAGATCTAGCCTTTTGGTGGATGGTTCTTACCAGCTATGTAGATAGGGTTCAAACACACCTGGTGGTCTCAACCCGTTCCAAATATACAAGTGAATTGGGTATGGATCAATACCTATTAATACCATTTTTAGGGGAATGAACATCCATTTACCAGCTATTTTGATGTTCACCAGGGATACAAGGTTTGACACACTGCCAATTGGCCATTGGCCAAGTAGAATGGTTGAACACACCAGAAACCTGTCTCCATGTGCCCGCCTGTGCGATGTTTTCATGTTCCAGTAGCTTTAACCTCAGGCCAGGGGTAAAAGGCATGGGACGATCATCCGAGCGTTGGTTGGAATGTAATGAAGAAAAATGGATACCCTCTGGTGAACATACAAAAAGCAATGGAAAATGGCTATTTATAGTGGATTTTCCCATTAAGAATGGTGATTTTCCATTGCTATGTTAGTTCACCAGAGGGTACAACACATATGGTGAGTTTTGTTCAACAAGAACTGTGTGAGATTGCCTAGAATGATGTTTTGACGAATCACCAGGAATGGTTAGTTTGGCAAGTGGATCATCTACAGCTGGCTGGGTGTAACAAAACGTAACAAAACAATCTACTGCTGGGGGCCCAAATCTAGCAGGAATATTTGGGAAATCCCAATTGTTGTTGGTTAAATCTCAACTATCTTGGATTTTTATCCACATCATCAAGTTGGTCTTTAGCAAGTGTTTTTCATCTTTATGCTTATAGCTATATATATATATATCATCTTGTACTTGTTTGCTCTATCCCTATGATATCCCTACGTAGTTTCACCTATGTTTTCCCAGTGATTCCGCCAGCCAGGCACGTCTGGAACTCCTCCTGCAACTCCTCAATGCCCGAGATGCTCATCCTGGGCTAAGTGGGGAATATCAATGGATTGGTTTTGCTGGGACATTTTACAGGAAAGCCCCATATCTAATGGGAAAATCGGAATGGTGTCCGGTTTTCCACCCCATATCTAATGATCAAAATCGGAATGGTGTCCGGTTTTCCACCCCATATCACATCTTGCTGAAAACAGACAATTTCTTTTGGGTTCAACCCCCCTATCCTTCATGGTACCACATATATTTCTTGCTTAAATCAACATGCCTTTCCCAAATTTGCTAAATTCTTGTTGGATTTCCCCAAAAGGGGGGTTAAACGCTCTGTGAGTACCATTTTTTTCGTGTGTCACCCATATTCTCTGGTGAACCTTTATTTGGTTCCCCAATGGTTCAATGTGTCCTCATAGTATGCACGTGTTTCATGCGTATTATGGATTGGTTTCTGCGGGAAAATGGGAAAACCGGACACCATTCCGATTTTCCCATTAGATATGGGGTGGAAAACCGGACACCATTCCGATTTTCCCATTTAGTGAGCCACCAGTCGGGGTGTCACCAGCTGGATCAACCATCACAGGTCTAATTTCATACCCAACCAATAGCAACGGTTGACCAAACAGGCCAGAGACACGAGTCTTTCTTGAGGCACTTCACCTCAGAAGGGCTCCGGAAAAGCGGACACCAGCGATTTCTTGGTGGCTCTTCATGGGGTCTTCAACATCGATCCCTTGAATAACTCCAGGGATGATGTCAGTTGTAGCAAAGAACCAGGAGTTAAAGGTGGGATCAAGTGAGCATAGGGCATTTCCATACCATGCCACGTGTTTTTTTGGATCACCAGTCTGAGTGTGTGCTGCCCTGATCTTGCTGATGGTTGATTCCTCGTCCCCGATGCTTCAACATAGTTCAGCCTCCATGCGCATCAACCCCAAATTGTGCTGGTCAAAGCACAGTTTTCGTTGCTGAAGTCACATCAATTTAAAGGCTTTTGCGGGTTTAACATCTTTCAGCCATATCTGGTTGGTGGTTTTTCGCCACCCCTCTGAAAAATATGAGTTCGTCAGTTGGGGTTACTATTCCCAAGATATGGGAAAAAAACATGTTCCAAACCACCAACCAGATATGTTTGGTGCTGAACTCTGAACTCTGCAGATCTCGCCATTTTCAGATCATTTCAGTGGCCATGGCTGGGTGGCCGGACGCAGAACTCGCGGCCCGCCGCATCTTTGGCCAGCTTGGCGACCCCTTGGCTGCCACGGCCCAACTCCTTCAGGTCGTCGTTGCGATGAGAAAATGAGGAACTGGGGATTCTCAAATTCATATGGGATCTCATTGGATATTGTATGATTATAGTTTTCAATTTTGGTATCCAATTGACTATTCAAAATAGATTATACAGTATAACTGAGTTATAGACTATTGTAATATCCAAAATATTTCTATAAATACACCACAACATGTCGCGAAAAAAGAATGATCCAGTTCAGAGTGCTCCTTGGGGGAACCATGTATACCGTATACCATTGTATACCATGCATGCAGTGGGATGCGGCAACTGAAATAAA